GGCGGGGTTGCGGGGCCGGTGGCGGGCCTGCGGGGTTAGGCAGCGGGGTACCCGGGGCTGGGCGGCGGCGGGGGTCGTCCGGCGGTGGCGGGGTTGGATGGCCCCCGCGGCGGGGGTCCGGGGTCCGCAGCCTCACACCGGCTTTGCCCCCGGGGATCCCCGCTCGACAACGCTGAGCTCATCCCATATCCGTACATCGATGTGTTTCGTACTCACCCGCTTAGTGTTTTCGGGCGGGGGCACGGAAATAAACAAATTGTCCGATCGCTAAGAGAATACCGTGGCCATCATCTGTGCATCCTCTTCTCGAATGGCCACGTGTTCTTCCGGTGTTATTCCGTTTCGAATGTCCTACCAAGGCACCGGTTTCGTTGCGATTTTAATTCCGAGCCCCGTTTCGAGGCACTCAGGGGGTTCCAAAGAATTGGTCTCCGCCCCTAAAAGTATCAATCGTATCTCTTTTGCAGGTGTCAAAAGAGATCGTGGGAGATTCTTGATGTCGCAGTAGTGCCTTTTGTCATTGTATCGTGCGAGTAAAGGGGAGATACCTTCGTACAGGGTTCGAGGGGGTTCCAAAGAATCGATCATCCTCGAAATTTGCACGAGGGGTTCACCCATAATCATGATTTGCGTTCTTTGTAGACTCTGATCAGTCAGGCTTAGCGATCTTGTGTTTGCTCGTTGCATAGGGTAATAGATACGCTGCTGCACCATTTCTAGAATTACTGGATCGTTCTCGTCACTGTTGTCCGCGTCCTTCAGAGATTGTTCACCGTCAGCAGAGTTATCCCAGGTAATCACACGGAGAGTTCCCGCCATCATGGGAGAAACTCGCGGCGTTACACTAGCCATAGCTCGAAGAGTCAGTCTCATAGGTACAACATAGGGCTTCCCTCCTGTATTACAGAGGACAATGGATCGCCTCTCGAAGTCCAGATTGGCTCGCAAGGCCACAAGAGCGGGAAGGCCAAAAAGGACGTCATAAGTATTAATGTCCAAAACTAAGTTATCTCTCAAAGCATGTACTTTCCCTAATCGAAAAGCAACATTGGTCATCCGTCCCACCGTTTTAATCTTCTCTTCGTCTGCGGAAACGAGCTTCTCTTTTTCCATAAGCATAATCAAATCGTTCTTTCTTCCTGCCCTTTCAACCACCCGTAATGAGATAGTTAGGACAGCGGCCCCGGAATCAATGATAGCATTGTACGGGATTCCCCATACCTCGATATCACATTCTGCAGATTTCCATGATATTGATTTAATCTGTAGGAAATGATCATCTTTTTGAATCAATCCTAATCGTATCGGGTCTGAAGTACCCGCTGCATTTTCATCTAGCGTGGGATTTTTCGTTTTTGTGCTCGTTGTTCGAGCGAGGGCGAATCGTTTTCGATTCGCTTTGCAGTGTTTCAACATTCGTTCGTTGGCTTGTTCCGATATTGAAAGTAAATGACCAATCGGAAGAGGAATCCGATGATCCAAGGCTCGAACGATGTTGAGAACATTGATTTCCCCCGTAACGAAGCTGGGTCCTCCCGACTCTATTTCCCCTGGAAAAGGTCGCCATTCCCCCACTTTCCTTTGTTTTGGCCCGGGTCTAAGCGTTCCAATCATCCCAAGCCCCAGGTAGCCAAGCGTTACATACTGATCTAACGGGATTAGTTCAACAGCTTCCTCCATCGTAGCTAATGTGTTTTCGCCTCCTTCCATTTCTTCCATCAATGCCCCTACTCGTC